TCTGCCCTGTTCCGCTGGCCATGTAGCATTTCTATTCATTTGTCTCCCAGGTCTGTCGCTGCTGGTGTCCGCCCTTTTGCCCTGGCCATGTAGCATTTCTATTCACTTGTCTCCCAGGTCTGCCACTGCTGGTGTCTGCCCTGTTCCGCTGGCCATGTGGCATTTCTATTAATTTGTCTCCCAGGTCTGTCGCTGCTGGTGTCTGCCCTGTTCCGCTGGCCATGTAGCATTTCTATCAATTTGTCTCCCAGGTCTGTCGCTTTTCATTTGTCTGGTCTTGTCTCCCTTCTTGTTGGTCATTGTGTCCGTCTTGTCTCCCTTCTGTTTCCTTTTGTCTCTTTTCTGTTTCCTTTTGTCTTCCTTCTTGGCTCCCTTCTGATTCTTGTTGGTCATTGTGTCCGTCTTGTCTCCCTTCTGTTTCCTTTTGTCCCCCTTCTCGTCTCCCTTCTTGTTGGTCATTGTGTCCGTCTTGTCTCCCTTCTGTCTCCCTTCTGTTTCTGGTCTGAGTCTTGTCTTCCTTCTTGGTGGTCATTGTGTCCATCTTGTCTCCCTTCTGTTTCCTTTGTCTCCCTTCTTGTCTCCGTTCTTGTTTGTCATTGTGTCCGTCTTGTCTCCCTTCTGTTTCCTTTTGTTCCCCTTCTTATCTCCAGTCTTGTTGGCCATTGTGTCCGTCTTGTCTCCCTTCTGTTTCCTTGTGTTTCCCTTCTTGTCTGCCTTCTTGTTAATGCCTCAAAAAGTGCACTTGGGAATGCTTCGTTGTTGTCCCTCCTGTTTGGAGTCTATTGTTGGAGCCAATCGTGAAGAGTGAAAACATTTCTTCTGTCTATGCCGTCCTTGGAGCAGGCCAACACGCTGGAGGAAGAGGGGCGCATGGATGAGGTGCCTTTTCACATTCCCTTTCCTGTCCTTGATGTTTGGATCATTTCCTCCTTTTGTTGAATGTTTGAGTACACAGTCTGATTGAATTTGATATGCCAATGACACTTGAAGGCCATGAAGCTTCGGCGCAACGTGATGGAGTCAAGGGAGCGAGTCTTCGGCCCCTTGCACTGGGCAGCTTGGCTTCGGTTTCTTCTGGCAGTGTTTTGCAGTGCTTGAGCCTACATATAGATACATACGCTGTCCATGCTTGATGGGCTGACGCACATTCAGGATGTTATTATAGGGTCGTTATGTAGACGGTAAGTGTGGTAATGATTTTGTTTACGGTCAATGTCGGCACGCGGCCGAGGATACGCTGTGGAGCCTGGACCGCTTGTCACACCTTTTGCTGGCCACAGGGCACATAGCAGAGGCTGAGGTCAAACAACGGCAAGCAGTAGAGCTGCCAGACTGCAAGTATTTCTTAGGATGAGCCCGCTCGTTGGAGCCATACACTGTGAGTGAAGAGGCATCATGAGTGCCAGTCTCGGCGCTAGCTCGCGGCCAGCACAGTCGAATTCGGAACATTGGAGTCTCCTCATGGGTGATGATGAGTCATGACATGGGATTGGAGAGTCTCTACGCGGCTCAGGCTTTGTGATTCAAGTAGTGTGCTGGGTGCCCAGGCGAAGAAGGCAAAAGCTCGGCACAGATCATGTGGAGACGCTGCGGAGCTCCAGAATCCTGGCCGAGCTCCTTGGTTTTAGCGTGAAAGAAAGTTAAGCAGAATTGTCCGATCATGAAGCCCTAATTATATAAGTTGCTCGAGTGAGTGGACTTGTAGTGAAAGTCTCTCGGCATACAGCTTCAGCGGGATTGAGTTTGGAAGCCCGCTTCCTAAGGCAGCTCAGCCTTCCGCAAGAATAGCAATCAACAATCATAGATATTCTTGGGAATTATCGCCAACTACCGCTTGTTAATATACAGTAGAGTATGCGGCACTGGCTGCGACTCACGCTCGCAGTGCAACATTTTCCAAAGGCAAGGCTGCCCATTCTGGCTGGACACTTGGCACGCTTTGCTCAGGTACCTGAAGCTGCAGGATAGCAATCAAAAGCTCGAGGAAGCTCATCAATTGCTGCAAAAAACAAAGAAAGATGATCAGCAGCTGCAGCTTAGAGGAACATTATATTCTGATAGGTGAAGCATGTGCACAGGTGTGACAGAGATGCGCATTCTAGTCATAGTTGCCAAATAGAACACATGCACACACACTCGGGAAATTGCGTATATACGGATTTGCGGTTTGCCACCCGCCAGCCTAAGTAAAAAACCTAAGGGTCCTGTAAGGCGGTCTGATCGTGCCGTCAGCAAAGTTTCAGGTCAAGAAGTGTTAAAGCCACCAAAGTTTCAAATCGAAAGCCCAGCGATCGACAAGTTGACAAGTACGGCGAAATCGTGCAGAGTCTGCCGACCTACCTCCACCTGAAGCAGCCTGAAAACAAGGGAGGACCATTGGAGTAGGTCCCATCTGTGATCATAGCTGCGGTGCGTGCGGTAGATCACAGATGCTGCACGCCCTTGCCTTCAGAAAAAACCAACAGGCCTCCTTTGACTCCAAGGGCTTCACACACACGCTGGGGGGTCCAACAGGTTAAAAGCTAAGGGGCAGACTGGTGTTCATATGCGCGCGCGCAAAAGACAAAAAGACAAAGATCAAAGGTAAATGTGCGCGTGCACCCCAATGACCGGACCGATGTGTGCGCAAAAGAAGGAAAGGAACGAGATGACAGGACATGAAGGCGGAGAAGACATATCAAAAGGGGAAGGAAGTGTGTGTGAAGGGGAAAGGATGAAGAGGGAACCAGATGGAAGGGCCGGAAACCAATGAAGCCAAGCCTCATTAAAATGGACTTGGGAAAACCTACTGTAGCCTGGTTTGTGTGTGTGCAAGCACCTAAGGTAGGGACAGGCCCCAATGGGCCTTGAGAGGACTGCGGCCGCTGTGGCCTACTCTGGGCATTCAGCCTGCTCTTGTCCGCTTCGGACTACTAATGGCATGCCCAGGAGGCGGCCTGCTCAAGTTCCATCAAAGCCAACAAGCCTTAACAGTCGTTTGGCATAACTCGTTGCGAGCTGCTCTGGTCCCGGGCGCGGGGACATAGACAAAACCCCGTCCACACCGACGGGGCCATAGGGGACACTCTCTGGGTACACCGTGGGCTGGCATGAAGCCAGGCACACTCAGTACTGACTTGCGGCTCGCCACCCGCCAGCATAAGTAAAGACCACCAGGAGCCAGGGTGGGTGGGTGTATGTAAGGCGGTCTGATCGTGACGTCATCAAAGTTTCAAGTCAAGAAGTGTTAAAGCCACCAAAGTTCCAAGTCGAAAGCCAAGCGATCGACAAGGCAACGAAAACGTGCAGAGTCTGCTGGCCTACCTCCACCTGAAGCGGCCTGAAAACAAGGGAGGGCCATTGGAGTCAGTGTGTTCTCAAGATGGGACGGGGTCAAGCGTCCTTGATCCCGCCCAATCTGTGATCATAGCTTCGTCGCACGCCCTTTCAGAAGCGCCAACAGGTTCATTTAGACTCCCAGGGGCACACACACACTATATATCGCATAATGTTATAAAGCAAAGGGTGTCCAGACGGTCAGTGGTCAACCTTCCTCGTGTCAAGTGCCAAGGCTTGGGGTAGACCACAGCGAGACCATCAAGTGCATGCAGACGCCGCCCTTGCTGCAATCAGATGCAGTCAATGCCGACTTTACCGTGGTTTTGTTTCAAAGGCAGCTTCTCGATATGGCCCCGTCCAAAGAAACTACGTCCCACTCAGACGGTCAATTGTTGTCCGGGGAAGGCAGGGGGAACACGTTGCACGTTTTCTTTTTTAGGCTCGCAGACGTGTTGGCCTCCATGGGTGAGCTGACAAAGGCACTGACAGAGACATAGCCAGGGATTGAAGTTGACAGTCGCATGGTTTGGATGTTGAAGAGAATATGCTTGGAATGGTGTTGTTTTTTTTGCAGCGTTGCGCTTGTGCTCCAAAGCTTCAATTTGTGGACTGGTTTCGGAGTTGGGTGGCTAGAAGGCTGAAGAAGAGTACCGAGAAGTCCTGGAGTGCGGGAGCTCAAAACGACCGGCGCGGTGATGAAGCACCAGTGCTGATGCTGCATGGAGGGATTGCAGACATCGTGTGTGAACAAGGGCAGCCGGTAGATCTCGGTGATACATTTCATCCTATATTTATATAGCATGCCACTTTACTACCATCGTGCATCACACAGCCCGGCAGAGAGCTAGCAGTGCTTCCAGGCTGCTGCACTTACAATTATTGACTTGCTTTGGTACCAGCCTACCTACTGTATATATAGCTTGCATATCCCGAGCAATGTCTGGCAATGAAGACGCACTTGGGCAAGAGTTTGCGCGCAGGCGCAGAGTAATCGCGACGAGTGCCTGCGCTAGCTGTAGACAGGTAAGCTGCGCCGCAGTTTGTAGCTCAAGAGCAGGGCGAGTTTCGTTTCCTCCATGCTTGGGCTGATGAAAGCCAAGGCCGTGTTATCCCGACCAATGCCTTTCCGGATGCATCAAATCTCATGCGTTTTCCCAAGTAGAATGCTTGCGTGGTGCGTTTCGCTGCAGCGAAATGCACATTGTGGATTGGAGTGCGCAAACAAAAGTTGTAAAAAGCAGTTGTTCGACTGCAAGAACACAAGCAGAGGATCCAAAATGCCAGCATCGGTCTTATTTTTCTACTTCCACCGCAGCGGGGAGTAGACAAAATTCAAGATCCTAGTGTTGGCTTGGTTCAGCACTTTCTGCCGCAGGTTCCAAGATGGTTTCCAATTGTTCAATCTTTTCCACACGATGCGTGTGTGCATGTGACATCATTTGGGAAGCACATCCACCCCCGTCTTCCTAAGCGTGTGTGCATGTGACATCATCTTCAAAGCAACCGGAACGCGACGCACGTGACAGGCGCAAGGGCGGCGTATCAGCCACGGGCCAAAACAATAATTGCTCCAGCGGCTTCCTCTTGTAGGATGCCATTTCACAAGTCAGTATTCCGTGCAGCAATTCCTGTAAAACAGGAATGGGTTCCTAACTTCACCTCATTCATGTTTTCACGATGATCTGGAGGGGTGAATGTGCAGATACCTGTTTGACAGTTCATGAGCATGCTCACTGACATAGTGGCACATGCTCACAGAAATGCTCGCGTTCATTGAGGCTTTTGTCAAAGACGGTCGGGAAGGAGCATTCCTCTACAATTGAGGCACTACGAGGGACCACCCACAAGAGCGCGCTGAGAGGATAGTTGTGTGATTATGGCCGGCCCAGTCCCACTTGTAGAGTAAAGCACTCGGGACCAGTTCAAACACAATTGATGCAGACGGACACCACGGTGATTTCAAATGGTGAATGGGGCCATGCAGTTTACATATGATAGACCGTCCCTTTCGTTCACCAATGAATGAGGACACTGATGTGCCTGCCAAGGCCACAAAGAAGGCCCAAATTAGACAAAGGGGCCGAAGTGCCTTCGCCATGGAGCCTATGCACTCAACGCTTTCTGACTGGTCCAATCCAGACTTGGAACCTATTTTCTTGGCTGCCTCGACCACCATCGAGTTTCTCTTCTTGGTGGCTGTGGTAGCCTTTTGCAGAGTTCATTGCCAGCAGACTTGGAAGCCACTTGCCAGTCTATGTACTGTGCATCACTTTGTCTTGACTTGTGGAGCGTTCCTTGCCATGTTTTGTTCTTGGCCGTGGTTCGATCAGAGCCCCTCCCCACGGCCCCACGAGTGCAGTATGTAGAGCTGTTCCAAACTAGTACTTCTCATTGTCTGCTGATTTCTCGTTTGCCATCGATGTTTTGAGTTTTCAGGTGGCTGAAAAAGTGTCATGTAGTGCTGCCAGCCACGGGCATTTGGAGAGAGGACAATTGTGAAGACCGCTTGCTCATCGAGGAGGTGCGCACGGCACAGCTACGCATGGCGCATCGATTTATGAATGTGCTCCTTGGTTTCAGAGGAGGTGGCCCTGTGTAAGTTGGTGGTAGTGCCCACTCAGGTGGCAGGAACCATCGATATGATATATCATCCAACAAATTTCAGCCAGCATTTGCAGATTTAGCCCAGTCTACGCCCGTGTGCGACTCCTTCTTGGCAAGCAGAAGTTTGCAGTAGCATGGTGGTGGCAAATGTGTCTGCGAACGTGTAGGACTTTGCAGCAAAGTGATTGATGAATGAATCGATGAACGTGTGGTACATGCGTAGGCACTTCTGTATAAAGGTCAGATATATGTAGATCAACGCTTGTTTCAGGGATGCTTTACTGGATGACTGTTGTAACGCTCTCGAGGTGATATAGTATGGTCGGTTGCAGTAGCGTTCGACCATCACCTAGCAGGCTGCAAAACTGCAAAAGCCAGGCGCAGGGGCGTGGCGACTCTCCACAATGAAGTCTCTTTAAGAGACTTCCATGTGGAGGCTGCCCCGTTCCCCCCCTCACGCCGGGAGGGAGAAGCCACAGACGTTACCACTGTACAAACTTCCCTCGTGTCAAGAAGTAAGAGCACACTGGTCCAAAGATCCAAGGGAAACCAAACTGTCAACACAGGGAACCAACACAAAGCAACAGCAAAACAACGCCCACACAAAACGCCAGGGTTTCCCCTGCTCCTACGGACTGGGCTGCCAGGCCTCCGACCAAACCAGGGCTGTATAGGTGACGCAAGAGAGAACTGCGCAAGGTCAAAGTCGCGAAGTGATCTGCCATGGGGTCATCACATAGGCAACGGCCGTGAAGCGCCAGATGTTAAACAGGGACAAACAACACTGGACCGAGGACTCGTGCCATCCGAAAAGAAGGGAGCTGGTGCAAACCCTCGTGAGAGCACTGCACCAGGCTCGATCCGGTCTGTACACCTGCGATAGGAATAAGAAAGGTCTCGAAAGACCGCCCGGCCGGTCGTTCCCCATCAAAACAGACCCGGTGGGCCTGAACAAAAAATGCAAATGTGGATTGGATCCGTTAGCCGCACGCCAAATTATCATGAAAAGTTCTGGTCGCGCGTTACTCCCAGGGAGTCAGGAGGTGATGTCAGCCATGGAGCACTTAAGAACCTAGTCCCGTCGGGATGGAGCGTTTCTGGACTGAGCATTCAGAGAGGGCGACATTGGCAGCACCACGGAAGAGGTGGATCCGGCTGGGTGTTGTAGCGCTTACACTGTACACACTGTTTGTCACCACATGCACTCTAAGCCAGAGTGGCAGCCAAAGCTTTAGTTTCACAAAGTAGCGGGGCTTCATGTGTGAGCCCAGTGAAACAGGGTAATTAGCTAGTTTGGTGTATATAGTCCTTTATTCCTAAAACGACTTTGAACCAAAAGGTCATTTCAAAACGCAAACAGTGGATGGGTGCCAAAATTCGATGCTTTTGAGGCTAGCAGCCTTGGCGAACGGCACCACTGCGCTCTATCAGTCGAACATTCTGCGTGAGAGACAGAGGTGGATGCCAACTGAATTCATTCTGCCCCTCATAGGAATTTGCAATAATTTTGCTGGGTTGCCTAGTTGTTTTCCAGCATGATTTCTTTTGAGAGGGGACTTGCGGGCAAGGTGTTTGTTGCCGATATCGGCAATGGCTACTTTCCACTTAGCTTTTCCAAAGATGGTGACCCGACAGACAGTGAACTGGCTCTACTGCTCTGGGATGGCATGCGGTATGATAGCCCTGTCTCCCATTGGCAGCCCTGCTTTGGAGATGGGATCGCTGTCATTGTCCCTCGCATACACTGCGTTTTTCCGTTTGCCAGCAGTCACCTTAGCTACGCACACCTCAGTTGTCATAATTTGCAACCTGGTCTCCTTTGCGCTGCTTCTGGCCCGGGCCTTGTCAGAAGGATTCCTGGTTGAGAATCGAAGTGCTGCCCTTGCAACCGCAGTTTGGGTTGAAGGCTTGTCTTGTGTGGTGGCGGTCCTTGTTTGGGGTTCTCTGCAGCAACTCGGCGGCCACGCAACCGGACTGATGCATGGGACATCCTGAAACAAAGTGGTTTTGAAAGCGAGACAAGGGGCGAACCTGTGATTCTGGACTTCAAGCAGAGAGGTGACTTGAAGTCCCACACAAGCCCTTTAGAGCTTGCCCATTTCCATGCTTTGTTTTTAGACATTTGTAGACCCGGAACATTTCCAAAAGCATTTCTTCGTTTCTTGCCTCGAGGACTTGACTGATTTTTGTTGACTTAAAGAAATCGGATCCGAGGCAAGCGCTCCGAGGGGCCGCTGCCCACCGCTTGCACCATCGGCAGGTGAAGGCGGAGCTCAGCGCAGCGAGCTCTTTGCTTCGCTTGACTTGCGATGCCGTCTTGGAGCTCGATCCAAACCTCCGCTTGACCAAGCACTCCCCGGAGCTGGCGGCGGTGTTGCTCAGAGATCGGCCAGGAGCTTCTTTGGAAGCTTGGAATGAATTCAGCTGCAGCTTGCTGCGCAAATTGGCTATCAGTCAGGTTTGACTACGAATGGCTACACCAAAGCCGTTTCAACAGACGTCAACAGATGTCGGCATCGTTTCGTTTGAAAGCTAAGGAAGGTTCACACCTAACAGACTTTATGCCTGCTGCTGAAGCCGCGCGGGCCAAGGAGATCCTTGCGAGAGTTGATGAGGATGAGAACAAAGACGGTGCCACTTGTGCCAGCGCCTTCCACACACGTCACTAGGTTGCTCCCCTGTTGCTAGTTCAGCTGCCCAAACTGCCTTGTCAAGCTTTTTACAAAAGATAGCCAGGAATGCTTGTCAGCGTCCCTCCTGTGCGCCACCCAGGTCTTGTGGACACGTGTTCCAGCCGCTTTCGCACAGAAGTTTTTCAAGTGCGGTACCAGCAGGTGGATGGTCAAGTTCGTCACCTCATTGGCCTCCGGGACTTTACAGACCAACAGTCCCTGGCACGCAAAGCGACCGACGAGATCTGTGAACCAGAAGTGCCGAAGCCTGCAGAGACGGCACATAGCCCAGACGAAGAGAGGAAACACGACTTCGAGGATCTTCTAACACTGTTGGAAGTCGACCTCGATTGCATGCAGGTGGGGCCTAGTTATACATCACAAAAAGGAGCTGCATCAATAAGACAAGAAGCGCCTCAGAAAGAATCACCACGAATCACAAATCACGAAGCTTCGGCTCCCTGAGTTCTCCGCTTCACCAAAATGATGTAGGGGTGGTGGAAGCCTCCACTGCTTGATTTTGAAAAACAATCAGCGTCCTTGTTCCTAGTAGTAAGGCCAGGGGCCCCTAGTAGCGATGCCCTTTGCTCCTAGTAGCGATGCCCTTTGCTCCTAGTAGCGATGCACTTGCTCCTAGTAGCGATGCCCTTTGCTCCTAGTAGCGATTTCAGATGTCGGGGGCCCCCCCTTCAACTCCACCCTGCGCCGCTCTGTGTTTAGGAGTTTAGGAGTGATGCTGCTACTGCTGCTGGTTGCTGCTCCTGGTGCTGTTGCTGCTGCTGTTCCTGCTGGTTTGCTGCTGCTGCTTGAATCCATTTGAATCCTGAAGGCTGCTGCTTGCTCAAGTCCCCACCCACCTTTTTTCAATTTCGTGTGCGCAGCCCCCCCAAACTGTACAAAAACCAAAGGTCGTGCAGGCAAAAATTGTGTGAGCTTCGGTGCTTTGCTTTTGCTGCAGCTGCTGCTGCTGCTGCTGCTGGCTGCTTGCTCCTGCTCAGAATCTTCCAACCTTTACCTTCGTCCACCTCGGGTGCCTCTCAATTCAATTCACTCATAGGCATACTCCATCCTATTCCCCTTTCCTGTTTTTTTTTTGGTCCCCTTGGTTCCGTGGTCCCTCCCACCCTGCAGGTGAGCTCGGCATCTTCTTCCCTCGCCTGGATGGCTGGGAAAGACCTCGGCGAGGTGTTTAGTTCAGATAGCGCCGAACTCTTTCAGAGAGCTCGCCCTGAAGTCTTGCTTCTTGAAACCCAGCGAACGCTTAAGAACAAGACACTTCACTTTGGCAACCTGAAGTCTCTTGGCCATTCAGGTTCTGGGTGGGGGGTCAGCATCATTCAGCTGTTAAATCAGCAACACAAACACCCAAAGATGCAATGGCCAGAAAGAATTCCACAATTATATATTAGGTTGGAGGCCATCGCTATTAGGGTGGAGGCCATTGCTTCTAGGTTGGAGGCCATTCCACGCCATTAGGTCAGGTGTAGGCAAGGACAGACAGTCTGACTATGAGTCATGGGTCTTGTCGGTCCAGTAGTCTAGTCTAGGTGTTACATTGTTTGAGAAAGAGACTGATTTCGGGAGTGCGTTGATCCCGGATGTTTGCCATCGCGTTGCTCTGAACCTTTGTTGCCTTAGGCTTCGCTGCGGAGATTCTTATCACACGATTGCTGGTGCTATGGAGCCAATGCGCAGCACCTCCCGCTTGCGAATGGCCCTATGCTTCCAAATGCCTGCGTCCTTAGGTTGCTCAGATGCTCATCAGGGGAGTGCTTTTGAGCTTCTCCCTTTCTCAACCACTTGAAATCACCCGCTTTTCTTGTCGGATTCTTGCAATTTATTTCTTCCAACTTCGTGATGTCCCTTCCAGGCTTTGCGATCAAAGCGCGTGGAACACCCTCCAGTGGGAGCTCAGCTGACAGTTGCAGACTGAACGACCTCTCCTTGTAAGAGCAAGACTGGCTAGAGTCTTTGGCAGCTGAAGGCTGCTTTGATGGTTCTTTAGTAGACTGCTGGAGTAGTTGCCCCAGTTGCCCCGAAATTTGGGCATCACGCGCTACAAGTAGAGTGCTGGGATTCATGGTTTAGATGCGCAGACAGAAGTGCATAGACGCGCGGGCGCGTATACAATTTCTTTGAAATAAAGGTGTTGTCAGAAGCGGTAAGATCAGCAGATGGACGTATGACCATACGGTTCCCTGCGCATCGCTAGATCCAGAGTCGTTTGCATGCAATTCAGCGGCCGCCTAGATACCTGTGGGGCAGTCGCAGCTTCTGAGGGCTGCGGTTGCTGTTGCTGGTATGTCCAATAGTTTTTTCAGCATGCTGTGTGGAACCTCTTCCATGGGACTCTTTTGAGATTGTGTATGCGAGTGCAAAGGGTGCTTTCCAAACATCTGTCACATGGTCAGTTGAAGTGGAGATTTGAGGTTGCTGGCTCTACACTAACGTTTGGTTTGTTCCAAGCCATGTGAGTTGCCCATGTAGCGTGCTTGTCCGCACGTCAAAGAGAGGCCAATGAAGATTCAAGTCCTTGCTTTTCAGCGAGGTTCATTCGGGTAGATTGAAACTTCCCGATTCTCCTGGTGATAGAGCATGCGAACAGGCCCCATACATGGGCAGGGTGATGTTTTTTGACATACCCGTACCGACATGTGGCCGTTGGAATTGTATCCCAGCAAGAACGATAATCAATTGCATTTGATTAATTTATGCATTAGATGTAAAGGTGCAAGATGAACCCCTGAACATCTGAACACAGACGGGATTTGTCCTAATTGATGGCACACCGAACACAGAGTTTGCTTTGCCCTCGTCCTGGGAGCCTTGAATCTTGTGCCATGACGGGAAGCCGGATCCAGGTCCGCTACGCCTGGAGCTTTTCCCTATTTTTAAGCCGCAGTAGGATGCGAGGTAGGCCTGACGACGGCTTGCATCTCATGAAGGCAAAAAGAAAAGAAGGGCCAGCTCTCGTGCTATAATTATATATATATATATTCATTCATTCAAGGTAGGCAGGGTCGGTGATGAGGAAATATTTGTGAAGCTTCAAGTCAATGTCTCCCACGTTGCTTGGCTGCTCAAGCCAAAACTGGGAGACTCCCTTGAGGTGCAGTGCCACTGCAGACACCTCAAGATAAAAGTTTTTCATCCTTTGCTGCAATGTCGCTTTACAACTTGAAGGCGCGGTGTGCAGCTGAGCAGGACTATTTGGACCGCTGGTACGCTGAGCATGGCATTGAGGCGGCCTCTGCTCTTGCTTCCTCCATCTTACGCGGCTGCTCTGCAGTCGGACCGGGCAGGGGCCAAAGGTTGACGCACGTGGCTGAGACGCAGGTTCCGAGGCCCTGGGCAGGCTTCCTCTTGCCGTGCTGGCCCAGTGCAGGCCCTCGGGGAAGGACATGAGCCTGGCTGCAGTGCTGGGCAGGCTCTTGGGGGAGAATGTGAAGGACTTTGCTGGCCCTGTGCAGGCCCTTGGAGCTCGTGACCACGGCCCCCCTAGTCTGCCAGTTCTCCACTTTTCCAGTTTTCAAGTCTCACTTCATTTCTTTCATTTCCAGAATGTCAGCTGTTTCAATCAGTGGGCTAACTCATTACTTCTGATTCCCTCACAGCGGCAATTCATGCGTCGGCACGCGGCGACCGTTGCAGCGTGTGCTCCCGAGTGGCAGTGAATGTCCATGCTGCGTCAGCGGCAGAGGGCCATACCCCGCGGTTCGGGGCTGGGATGTTTTCTCTGCATGCCCCCCAGTCTGAGGATGTCCTTTCTGTGTTTCCAGTGTTCAAATTCTTGTTTTTCTGCATGGGCCTTAGTCAGGTTATGGACTTGGTCGCGCACCAGACTGAGGCTTTATGGAGTCCTTCGTCAGGTTACAACAAACTGTTCGTCCCTCGTGATGAAGTCTCTAATTTTGCCTTTTTCCGGACTGCCGGCCTGGACCGTGTCAGGAGCTAGGCACATGCGTCGCGGTCTACTGCGTGTGACGGCTACGTGATGAAGTCTTTGACTTTTCTCTTTTTCAGGACTGCCGGCCTGGTCAGGAGCTGGTCACATGAGCCGCGGTCTGCTGCGTGTGACGGCTAGGCCTGCGAGTCTCTCATACTGAGGTCTTTGATTCTTCTATATTTCAGTGGCAGCAGTCTGCAGGTGGCCGCGGGTTACTGCAATTTTTGACGATGTCGCGTTTACTCCAATACCGACCTGCGCGATTCCAGTCCAGTGGGTTTTGAGCAAACACTCATTTCGTCGCCAGCGACCTCGGGTGTTCGCTGCCGGCCGAGTACCACAGTTCAGGTCCACCAAATTTTCCGTTGCAATTTGATGTCTGATCCTCCTGGCCGCGGCCTGCCGGAAGCCAGATGATTTGCAGCTGTCGGCTTGGCTAAATGCTCTGGCAATGAGCAACTGGAGTGGTGCTATCTGCAGGATACCACTGCGTCCATGTCCATTTTCCAGCCACACTTTTTGACCGTCCATGATGGCTGCTGTCTGCATGAGGCCCATGCTTTTGCAGCTGTCGGCTTGGCTAAATACTTTAGTCATGAGTCCAGATACCCTTCGTCAGTGACATTGCGGAGCAATGGTAGGTCACTGCCACTGCGTTTGATCAATTTACAGTACAAGAGTTGGACATCATTTTGTCATTTCCACTCCACCATAGTCATACGAAACAAAGACTCTCAAGCTTGAAAAAAAAGGAGGGGGCAGTGAATATTCATGCTGTATCAGCGGCAAAAAGGGCCATACCCCGGAGTTCGGGGCTGCGACGTTTTCTCTGCATGCCCCCCAGTCTGAGGATGTCCATTCTGTGTTTCCAGTGTTCAATGCTTGTTTTTCTGCATGGGTCAGGTTATGGACTTGGTCGCGCACCAGACTGAGGCTTTATGGAGTCCTTCGTCAGGTTACAACAAACTGTTCGTCCTTCGTGATGAAGTCTTTAATTTTGCATTTTTTCCGGACTGCCGGCCTGAACCATGTCAGGAGCTGGTCACATGAGCCGCGGTCTGCTGCGTGTGACGGCTAGGCCTGACAGTCCCTCATACTGAGGTCTTTGATTCTTCTATATTTCAGTGGCAGCAGTCTGCAGGTGGCCGCGGGTTACTGCAATTTCTGACGATGTCGCGTTTACTCCAATACCGACCTGCACGATTCCAGTCCAGTGAGTTTTGAGCAAACACTCATTTCGTCGCCAGCGACCTCGGGTGTTAGCTGCCGGCCGAGTACCACAGTTCAGGTCCACCAAATTTTCCGTTGCAATTTGATGTCTGACCCTCCTGGCCGCGGCCTGCCGGAAGCCAGATGATTTGCAGCTGTCGGCTTGGCTAAATGCTCTGGCAATGAGCAACTGGAGTGGTGCTATCTGCAGGATACCGCTGCGTCCATGTCCATTTTCCAGCCACAATTTTTGACTGTCCATGATGGCTGCTGTCTGCATGAGGCCCATGCTTTTGCAGCTGTCGGCTTGGCTAAATACTCTAGTCATGAGTCCAGATACCCTTCGTCAGTGACATTGCGGAGCAATGGTAGGTCACTGCCACTGCGTTTGATCAATTTGCAGTACAAGAGTTGGACCTCTTTGGGTTACTGCACATCATTTTGTCATTTCCACTCCACCATAGTCATACGAAACAAAGACTCTCAAGCTCAAAAAAAAACAAAGAGGGGGGCAGTGAATATTCATGCTGTATCAGCGGCAAAAAAGGGCCATACCCCGGAGTTCGGGGCTGAGACGTTTTCTCTGCATGCCCCCCAGTCTGGGGGTGTTTCCAGTGTTCAATTCTTGTTTTTCTGCATGGGTCAGGTTATGGACTTGGTCGCGCACCAGACTGAGGCTTTATGGAGGCCTTCGTCAGGTACAACACACTGCTCGTCCCTCATGATGAAGTCTTTAATTTTGCCTTTTTCCGGACTGCCGGCCTGGACCATGTCAGGAGCTAGGCACATGCGTCGCGGCCTATTGCGTGTGACGGCTACGTGATGAAGTCTTTGACTTTTCTATTTTTCAGGACTGCCGGCCTGGACCCTGTCAGGGGCTGGTCACATGAGCCGCGGTCTGCTGCGTGTGACGGCTAGGCATGAGCGTCCCTCATACTGAGGTCTTTGATTCTTCTATATTTCAGTGGCAGCAGTCTGCAGGTGGCCACGGGTTACTGCAATTTTTGACGATGTCGCGTTTAATCCCATACGGACCAGCACGATTCCAGTCCAGTGAGTTTTGAGCAAACACTCTTTTCGTCGCCAGCGACCTCGAGTGGTAGCTGCCGGCCGAGTACCACAGTTCAGGTCCACCAATTTTTCCGTTGCAACTTGATGTCTGACCCTCCTGGCGGTCTGCCGGAAGCCAGATGATTTGCAGCTGTCGGCTTGGCTAAATGCTCTGGCAATGAGCAAAAGGAGTGGTGCTGTCTGCCGGATAACACTGCGTCCATGTCCATTTTCCAGCCACATTTTTTTGACTGTCTCTGATGGCTGCTGTCTGCATAAGGCCAATGCTTTTGCGGCTGTCGGCTTGGCTAAATACTCTAGTCATGAGTCCAGATACCCTTCGTCAGTGACATTGCGGAGCAATGGTAGGTCACTGCCACTGCGTTTGATCAATTTTGCAGTACAAGAGTTGGACCTCTTTGGGTTACTGCGCATCATTTGGTTTTCTCAGTCCGTGGGCCGCCTCATTGCCTTCTCTCACAGCAGCATATCACGCGTCGGCGCGCGGTGACCATTGCAGCGTGTGCTCACACGTGGGCAGTCAATGTTCACGCTGCATCCGTGGCAAAGGGGGCCATACCCCGCGGCTCGGGGCTGCGATGTCGTCCCTGCATGGCCCCCCCCCAGTCGGCCTGGTGTCCAATTGCTGCTTCAAGTTTTCAACTTTTCCTCTTCCGTTTTCACGAATGTCCGTCATTTCAGTCAGAGAGCCTAGTTGTTGTTTTCGGTCTCTCTCACAACAATG